GAAAATAAATTTTTAAAAGGCGAAAACATAAATATTTCAGCTGCAGTCAATAATAAATTAATGGCGGAAGTTGTTTAAGCGACATACTGAGTGTGAAACAACGGACTTAAAAACACAAACAGCCCTGTGAGATTTTCGGTAATAAATGGAAGACTTAACTGTTATTATCAAATATTATTTTAATAACGTGATATATATATATATATATATATATATATATATATATAGAGAGAGAGAGAGAGGGAGATACATTATATATATAGAGAGAGAGAGAGACACGTGATATATATATATAGAGAGAGAGAGACGTGATATATATATATAGAGAGAGAGACGTGATATATATATATATAGAGAGAGAGATATGTGATATATATATATAGAGAGAGAGACGTGATATATATATATAGATAGATAGATAGATAGAGAGAGAGAGAGAGAGATACGTGATATACATATATATATATAGAGAGAGAGAGAGAAAGAGACAGACAGACAGACAGACAGAGATACATATTTATATATAGAGAGAGAGGAGAACTAGGGGATGTAGGAGGGGAGGTAGATGGAGATTTGATATGTTAGGGAGACGGGGAGGACAGGGTGATCGAGGGGGAAGGAGAGAGTGAGTGTGTAGGGAGAGGTTTTAAAATTTGCTATATTAATAGCTTCTATGGCACTGAATACTGGACAATTTCCTCATTGATGAAAAAGAATACTTGAAGTAGCAGTGATCTGGTTCTACAGAAGGATGTTGAGAATACCACGGATGGAGCATATAATCAATGAGGAAGTTTTAGCGAAAATGAAAACAAAAAGGACACTTATAATTAGAATGTTAAAGAAGCAGTTCAATTTTCTAGGACACATTATGAAAAGATAAGACTTGATAAATTTGCCACTTATGGCAAGCTACGATCATACTGAACGGACAAAGAAGCACAAAAAAGATTATATGTAGAAGAAGACTGCAAGCTATTGGAGATAGAGACTTTATAGATATATAGTGTGTGCACAGACGAATCAACACTGCATACAGACTGTCAGTTTCACACAGCAATTGAAGATCGCATCAAAGTCTGATATTGACAGCCACCATGCAGTTGATGTTCACACTGCCAATATCAGTAGCATAGGTAAAAATGCAGATGAAGGCCTCGGTTCCGGAGTGTGTTTTTGAATATAAACAGTATTGTCTGATGATCTCTTAAACTGCCATTCACTGTGCAGTGTCCACGTCCTCACTCACTCTCTGTCTGTCTGTCTCTCTCCCTCTTTCTTTTTTCTGTCTGTCTGTCTATCTATCTATCTATCTATCTGTGTGTGTGTGTGTGTGTGTGTGTGTGTGTGTGTGTGTGTGTGTGTGTGTGTGTGTGTGAAAGAAAGAGAGAGAGAGAGAGAGAAGGTTCTGAATTCTCGCCTCGGAAAAATGAAATCTCATGTTTGATAATCTGATCAGATTTTAGTGAAATGGGTCAAGCTGAGAACTGATATATATATATATATATATATATATATATATATATATATATATAGAGAGAGAGAGAGAGAGAGAGAGGGAGGGGACATATATATATATATATATATATATATATATATAAGTGAACATTGAAGTCATCACTCAAAGGCCACAGGCTGTTTCATGTTGGAGGTAATCGTCAGGCCGTGAATGATGATTGCGTCCAGCATGAAACAGCCTGTCGCCTCTGAGTGTTTACTTCAATGTTCACTTTTATATTTATATTTACATACGCTTTTATCTCTGATATTTAGCACTTTATCCCATAAATATAGCACACTTTAAAACTATATTTCTTCATATATATATATATATATATATATATATATATATATATATATGAGGTTTGTCTGAAATGTTACAGGACTTATCCGTTCTTTAATGTGAAAGGTATCCTCCACAGTGAGTTCTGGACATTGGGCTAGACTATTAATCATCAAGTCTACAAAAAGACCCTGAAGCGTTTGCTTCAGTGAGTGCACGAGGAGTTGTGGCAGGGCAAATCGTGGCTGTTTCCCCACGACAATGCACCTGCTCCCAACACCCTCAAGCATCCGGCAGTTCCTAGCCGAGAACAACATCCCTATTCACCTGATCTTGCTCTATATGACTTTTTTTCTTTTGCCCAATCTCAAGGGCATCATCAAGAAGGCCGTTTGGAAGACGTGGAGGCCCATCAAGAGTGTCGTAAAGACGGATCGGAGAGACATCCAAGAAGAAACCTTCATTGTATAGAAGGATGGAAAAGTTCATTTGACTTGAATGGGATCACTTTAAAGGGGAAACTATCCCGTTACTTTTCAGGCCTCGCATATATATATATATGTGTGTGTGTGTGTGTGTGTGTGTGTGTGTGTATTCAAGCATGTTTATTTGAATGATCTGGACATATATCTATTAATTGTATTGTGATCCTCTCGAATTCTCTTATCGACTTCTTAATGTTGATATTAAATTCGTTAAGGAAGGCGCCGTATTTTTATTCATTTCGCTTATTTTCATTTTTATTTTTCCAAGTACTTTCAATATCATCCGCGATCATCTTCAAAGGTAAATTGCTAAGGCAAAAATAATAATATAACTGATAGTTGTGATTTTTTTGTAAATATTCATGAACGTGCTCTGTTATAATTATTCTAAAATTAACTGTTGAAGCTGTAGCGTTTTTACATGTTTTTGATTCAAGGGAGGTAACTTTAATTTGTATGGTTATTTGATTTTGTTCAAAAACATTTTTAAAAACGTTGGTATTATAAACATATTAAAACATTGTTGCTATACTCATAACGAACCTTATTTAGTGTTGGCTGTTTGCTCCTTATATACGCCATGAAAATAAAAAAATTAAAACTTCAAATTCTCAAGGTTTTCCATATAGAGGGCTAACGGTTTGGTGTTCAGAATGAAAATATTGTAATGACAAAAGCACGCAGGTGTAGGCTTTTCTTAAAGCCTACACCTGCGTGCAGCTTTATTCAACTGAGAATACTAGATTCGTGTATAGTGTCCTTTTATAGTCCCAGTAAACAGAAATACATCTCTCAAAGAGAAGAGTAACAAAACAAGTGGAGACCACTCTTGATTATTCATTACACGTACGTTTACATGTCATTGCACTGAACAGATTTCAGCTAAAATTCGTCGTCGACGAGCCCGGGCGGGATATATGGAGAACTAGGGCTGCCAATACAGTTTGGTACCAGCGCGGCTGCAGGAGTTGCTGGAAGGTAGCACAAAGTGCCGTCCATCTGCCTTCGGGGCTCCACTTCGGGTTTGAATTCAGAGTTGTGCTTCTCCTAGACCGGTTGCCATCCAAGGCTATAGAACCCAGTTTGTCCTGCTATTTACCCATAGCTGCAGGGAGAAGAGGAGGATTCATACCTTTCCCAAGGGTATTAGCACGTAAGGGAATGTAATGGATTCGACTGGAATTGGAACTCGGCTCTCCGATTCCTCAATCCAAGCCGCTATCCATTACTCCACCGTGCCTCCATACAGCTTAAAGACACGTATCTGCATAGTCTGATATACAAACACACACATATGCATATAAGTGTGTTTGTGTGTGTGTAGATATATATATATGTATCTGTGTGTGTGTGTGTGTGTGCGTGTGTGTGTGTGTGTGTGTGTGTGATTCCCTTCACTCAGTTTATTAAGTAATATAAGTCATTAAGTAATATAAGTCATTAAGTAATATTTCACCGAGAGATACGCTGAAATGGCGGCATTACAATGTTTTAATGTGTTTCTGTGGCTCTAAATTATCCAATGAAAACGACAAATGTCTAACTTTTCTTTACAAATAATAATTAAAATGTATCTATTTTCTCAGAGTCCATACGACGTGAAATTCGCGTAACATTTACAAGCGTTTAGAAATTCCGACAATGTCCCTCATCCCGTTCACGTGACATCGAATCCATTCAACTATCTTAAATTATTAATAGTTTTCTTCACAAGAATTTATTTCTTGGCAATAACTGCAGTCAGTCGAAAGCAGAAAAAAACTGTGTGCAGTTTCATCATAACTTCAGTCCTTATATCAGAAATTAATCAGTCATTTAGAGAAAAATATTATTTTTTTAAATTATGATATTCACATTTTTTTCTTCTCTGTGGCAAAATGCAATTGAAAGCAAATTTACCGTACAAATCCACTTAATTTAAATAATTGTTTTATGTTTCTACATACGCATTTATAAAAATTTATACAAATTGACTCGAAAACATTCTTCAGTACCAAGAACATGTATTAATTGTAGGGCTGGACCCTTTCATGGTTGTTTAGAACTCGACATTTTAGCTGTAAGAGAGGCAGCTACGGTTAATACAATAATAGCAAAAATATGAGTAACTACTTAAGTGTTCTCTGCCTGACCAAATATGGAAAAAAGAAAAAAAAATACACGAACAACATAAAAGCAAAGCAGATCTTTGGGAAATGAGTCAAGCTGAGCATGTTCCAATATATCCACGAATTTAATACTAAAATTAACCCTAGGACGGTACCCTGACGGATTCGCGGCTACCGCAAATGTTTCTGTTAAAAGAAAATTATGTAGATAAAAATATATTGGGTTAACAGATCGCGACAGCTATTAGGGAAATGTAATTAAATATACTTTAATGTTTAAAAAAAATTATTCAGTATTATTATTGTTTAGTTAATAAGCATTATAACATTGAACAAATAGCTATTTTATGGAAAAGGCAATTTTCGACAATATACGCATTTTTTTACATATTTGTTGTTATTTTTTAACCTTTACCAAAAACGACTTTCTTGTACATATAGCTATGGATAATATTATACATTAATTACTAATTTTTTTAATTAATAACTATTTGTGCTTAGTTGTTGACATTAATAGCTATCTGCTGATGTGTTAAAATTTTGCAATCTGTTAAATAATTGTTTTACGTTTCTACATACGAGTTTATAAATTTATCCATTGATTTGCTTTAGAATTATGTAAACCTAGCTGATAGATAGACTGCTAGATAAATATGAATAGCTAGTTAGCAATAGATAGATAGATAGATAGATAGATAGATAGATAGATAGATCATTTGGCCGTGTACCCATATAGATGTCTTGTTCAAATAATTTGAAAATTGTGATAAATAAAAAAAATCACTACAGGATGCGATGGATAAATTGTCGCCATTTTATATCTTTAATTTCGCACATGGGCGTTGTTTTTATTTTATTTTGTCGACTGCACAATATAATAGGGTAGGTTGGGTACGGTCTGTGAGAAAAGAAGCACCATGACGCAATTCACTGCGCCAGAAATTTGGAAACGGTATGCTGTACTCCTTGTCATTCGCGCCGGAAGCTCCCATACGAACATTTCAGAATGTTTGGGTGTGAAGCTGTGGACAATGCAGAGGACTCAGAAAAAGTTGGATAAGTCTAATGGTGATTACGACGTTACGGCAGCTCGCAAAACTCACTCTGATCGTTCTGATAAAAAAAAAATAAACCCCGAATTTGTTGGTGAGGATCTCAGACTCAACACGGAGGCCTACATCAAGTGCCTTGAGGAGGTAGTGTTGCTCTGGGTCAAGAGGGTGGCTGCTGGAAGATCCTATGTCTAGTAACGGGTCTTTGCACCATATCACACAAACAGAATAACCCAATCATTGCTGTCAGACAATTTCTGAGGCCACATCACCCCTTACATTTGACCACCTAACTCCCCAGACTGCAAACCCCTGCATTAATATGTGTGTGGCACGCAGTTGAGTGAGCGACCAACAAAACTGCTTGTAACACAAAAGATGAACTGAAGGCAAGGATTTTGGTAGCATTCACCAACTTACAACAAAGAGACTCTCCAGAAGGGTTGCAAGAGGTTCCAAAGTCGTCTAAATGAAGCCAATGGCGATTTTATTGAATAAATTTACTCTTTAGTATTTCAAAATATTTTTTTTTGCACTTTTGATAAATATGTTAAAACGAGACGTCAGTGTTATTTTCAATTTTGTGTAGTGTGTGTGTGTGTGTGTGTGTGTGTCGTCATTATCTCACGAGTTTCGTATTGTATAGTGTGTGTGTCGTCATAATCTCACGAGTTCCGTATTGTATAGTGTGTGTGTCGTCATAATCTCACGAGTTCCGTATTGTATAGTGTGTGTGTGTGTGTCGTCATAATCTCACGAGTTCCGTATTGTATAGTGTGTGTGTCGTCATAATCTCACGAGTTCTGTATTGTATAGTGTGTGTGTGTGTCGTCATAATCTCACGAGTTCCGTATAGTGACGTAGAGGAACCACATGTACTGCAGACATAACAGCAATGATATGTCTCAGCTAAATTTGCCTGACGGAATCAGTCCCCCTCCAAGCTGGATTTGAATTCGAAGTTTTTCTTCTTGTAGGCTGGTTACCAAATCAATCTCACTATTTAACGCATAACTAATAAACTTATAAATGTAAGCAACTATACTCGTCCGGCAACCTAATAATCTGCTGAATTTAAAAACGGAAATATTAGACACAGAAAACGCTGGTTACTAAAATAGGTTTGTTTTTCTTCTCTTTGTTGTATTTTTTTAAACTTTTTTTTTATTTTATGTCTTGAATAAATAGGATTTACCACCCCGTCATTGTGTTACTGCTTTTTTTTTCTTTTTTTTTTTCTTTTTTTTTTTTTTGGTCACATGGTCATGTTTTTTGTGTTGTAGGCTATATATTTTCTGTTCTTATAGCATCTCTTGTCCGCCAGTACGCCCTGACGATCCGCGTAGGTGAAACCTTAGGTAGGTTAGTCTGGCTCTTTAGGTTTACTTATATATATATATATATATATATATTACTTATTATAAAACATAGGTTGTGTGTGTGTTGTCTGTGTGTGTTGTGTGTGTGTGTGTGTGTGTGTGTGTGTGTGTGTCTGTAACGTTTATATGTTGGATCGAATTTCCTACATTTTTTAGCCGATTTCAACAAAACTTCACAGGACTACATAAAATTACCTTGTGGTGGTTCTAACGGGACCGAAAATGGAAAAAAATACAGTTTTTTTAATAAAATCAATTTGAAAACACGATTAAGACACATCGTGAGAATGAAAGGGGACAACTCACCCACGAAAATGTAAACAAAAGAGCATAGCATGATGAAAAAACGCCGAACTTGACGAAAACAAAATTTTATCGTCTAATGTTCATATTATTATTAAAGAGGAAAGATCAAAGTATTTTGGGGGTATTTTTTTTACATTTTTTAATCGTTCCTAGCACGTCTGAAATTTTCGTTAAAAATATTGTTTTTTTTTTTGGTCAAAAAAAAAAGGGCAGATAATCATTTTCAATCATTTTTTTCGATTTGATAAAAAAGATTAAAATCTTACTTTGATATTCTTTTAAAAATCAATTATCATTTTTTCAAAACTGATTTTAATAAAAACAGATATTATACTGTTTATTTAAAATATTTTGAACCAAGCTTAACTTAGCTTCTGCGCCGAAAAAATGTAATTTGAAAATAAAACAAAGCAGGTCATAACCTTTCGCGTCGCTTGACGATTGACGAAAGGCACATTCATGACGTTTAGATAACTTACGGGAGGATAATTCTTTCTACGGATGGAAGGAAGTGATATTATTTAAGCGAACAACTTATTTACCTCGTTACTTTTAAGGAAAACTTTCAGCGCTCTAAGTTTTTATTTTTTATTTTTTTATTTTTTTTTTTTTTGTACTTAGCTTTCATTTTTACGTTCATGATGCTTTATAGAAAATATAAAGAAATTAAAAATAAGACTGTTAATAGTGAGATTAAATTTCATAAGAAAAAGGTATCTAATTAATTTAGGTACCTTTCTTATGAAATTTTATCAGAAGTGTACATAAAATACTATAATTTTATGCACATTTATTACATTTTACTGTGTTATTTGTATTTCCATTCATTTCATTATTAATTTTGATATTTCATTTATGGAAAAATGTCATAACTGAGATTAATATAAAAATAAGATCATATAAATTAAAGCTTAGCAGTAGTTAAATTTCATAAGATGATACTGTTACTTGTAGGTACCCTTCTCAGTTGAAATTGAAAACTCAAATTAACTTCTCCATATGTGTTTCGCAAAAGTAAAGGGCTTAACAGCGGAGAACAATGCTGAACTCAAATAATGCAACTAAATTGTATTCTGGTTGGTCTTCCGTACTTGATAATTACTGTCCGACTATAAACACAAAAATTACATTTCTTAATTACCATGGCTAATCTGATTGGTCCAAATTATACAATTTTCAAAGCGCTAGACAATGACAATCTCACACGGACATTTTGAAAGGTTGATGTTTTTTAACTAATGTTAAAATATTTTTAAAAATTCAATTTAAACATTTTTAAAAATCTTTTTAAAATTAAAGAAATAAGAAATAATTGTATTAAAAATTCAATTTTCATTGAAAAAATTTTTTGCTTTCAGAAAATATTGTCCATATTCATAAAAACAAATTAAAACAAATAAAAGCATTTGAAACTAAATAATATATTTGTTTTATTGAGTTTTGTATGTTACAATTCACAGCTGATTTTCAGGTACGTTGGCAAAAAAAAAAAAAAACAAAAAAACATGATTTGCATTCTTCAAAGCCTTGTGCTTTTAACTATTGTAATCACTAAAACCGAAGGTCTCGAATTTTTAGAGTTTTTCATAAAATTAGTTATGGGGGTGTTAATAAATATAAAAAAAAATATTTCTGCCATGACTTTTTAAAAAAAAAACATATTTATAATAATTTCGATCATCTGTGAATAGTTTCTGAAAGTTTCATTAACATCTGACAATTATTTTTATTTTGCAAGATTTTCCAAATTAATGTGTAAATAAAAAAAATGCGCTAAAATTATCTATGTTATTTACTACCCCTTGTTGCGACAAAGAGAAACAAGGTTTTTTAAATCAAAATTTAGAATATTCTAAAAGATGGAAAAATTTTTAAAAAATAATTAAAAAAAAATTTAGTCTATCCTCTTCATAAAAAAATAAGCATTTTGACGATAAAATTTTGTTTTCATAAACTTTGGCGTCTTTTTCATCAGACTATGCTCTATGTTTTAGCGATTCCGTGGAGTGACTTAGGTTAAAAAACCCAGTTGTTGTGTGTGTGTGTGTGTGTTGTTTATATATGGGATCGGATTTCTTACATTTTTCAGCCGATAAAACAAACATCCACTTTTTTTTTTCGGCAGGTAATATTTTTTATTGTCTTGCACACTTTTTTCTTTATTTACATTCAGAATGCTTTAAAAATTCCATTTACAAGACAATTGTTTATAATAAAATTCTATTCACCAATCGATAGACTCATAACGATTGAAAACAATGTTTTTGTTTGAATTTGGGTTTGACCAATTCGTAAAAAAAAAAAAAAAAACTAATTAAGACATGCGTGTCCGTCAACCTTAAACAATAATCTTTGTCAATTTTATTTTTCAGTCTTTATGATGGTCGATACTTGATCTATCTCTTACTGTTAATTCCCGGGCAACGCCGGGCTCTTTTTTATATATATATATATATATATATATATATATATATATATATATATATATATATATTTGAAATAAAATTCAATATTTAAAAGGAAAGTATTTAAGAAATAAATTTAAAATGGACGTAAGAAATTGCTAGACAAAAAAAAACAATATTTCGAAGATTTAATTATTAAGTGAAAGAACACTTTACTTGTAATAATTTTAATAAACTCGTTTTTTGTTAATATTTTTTTTAGAAACTCTGATTTTGGAAAATATATATTCAATTGTTTTATAATTAATTTCACCACAAGCAAAATATGCTTTTTTTTTTATATTCTTTATTTTTCCTTAGGTAAATTTTGTTCATTTAAAAAGGCTACCTACATTTTTTCAGACGATTTCAACAACTATTTACTTTTTATATTATTATTATTATTATTATTATTTGTACATTTTTTTGTGTATTTTACATTGTGAATGTTTGTGTGTCCATTTACAAGACAATTATTTATAATAAAATTCTATTATTCATCAACGAAATTTTCATAACGATTTAAATAATTCTATTTTGCCTTTTGGGTTTGACCAAT